AGGGCCAGGTGCTGAGGGGCTCTGGCCGGAGGAGGCGGCCAGCTGCGCCAGCCCCTTGCGGAGGGCGGCCGCGGCCACCAGCGCTGCTTCCCCCCATTGTCCCCATCGCGACCGTCCCCCAGTCTTCCCCGAGGACCCGTCGCTCCTGGCGTCGCCGTCTGGCTGGTGGTCGCCGCCGGATTGCGGTGCGCGGCTTCCCTGGGCACCTTCTGCTTTCCGCTCCCCACCGCAGCCTCCTGCCAGATGTCCCTTGTCCCCCTCGTCTCTGGGCTTTAGCCACGGAGTTGCACGTAGAACCCGTGCCCTGTGGTTCTTCCGTTTACCAGGCACCAAGGACCCCTGACCCGGGCTCTGCTGGGGCAGGATATTTGCATCTGAGCGAGCAGGAAAGGCGACCTGGGGCCCATTTTCTCCTGGGAGTTTGTGTGATGGGGGAAACTGAGGCACAGAGTGTCTCTGGCCTGGGACTGAAGTGTTGACACAGCCCAGTCTCCCTGCCTGCTCTGTGAGGGCCAGAGATGTGCCTGTGATGCTGTTAAAATAAAAACAAGAATTTAAGCCCATGTTACGCCCCATGCCCCCACCCCCAGATACATATATTTTTTTTATCATTTCTCTTCATCATAGAGGGCCCTGAATTTGTCCTGTAACGTAAAGAATGACCTTTTGATCTAAGAAAATCATCTGTCCCAGTTCCCTTACTTGGATTACCCTGTTTTTCAGCGTCTCGTTTTCATACTGGGGTAACCAAGATTCACATACCCTTGCACCTCTGTAGTAAGTCTGGAAGAGTCTGTACCTTCCTCAGTCAGTGGTTGTCAAATTCTTCCCCTCTGTGGGGAACACAGGAAAAGTGAAAGATCCTTTGCCCAATAAAGTATTGGCTTTTCTCTCACACACGAACACCTCCAAAAATATTCACTTAAGGCAATGAAGAATGCTTTTAATGTAACGGCTGTAGAGTGATTTTAAATGACTTGTTATTAGGCCCCAAAATACAATCTTTGTAAGTGATGTTAGGCAAGGTAGGTTTGTGCACCATTTGGAAGAGTCTCACAGACTATGTGGTCTGCTGTCTGTGAGACTGCATTTCTGCCTAAAGTGAAAAAGCTTTGCACAGATACATGTATACGGTGATGTTTGCGGATTGATGTCCCCTGAGACCTGTCGCAAGTAATGACCTTTTTAGTACCCTACTAGAGAATACTGTTGAGTCTTTTCTCCTGGAGCCCAGCTTTTTCTTTGTGTTTCGTTCCTGTTGTGACTCTGTTGTATGGACATCCTGAGGGGGAAAGATCCATTTGCTTTGAAATTTTGGAACTTGTGGCCTGTATTTTGTTTCTGAATGAACAGAGCATGATGGCGGCACCTGAGGTGGCTGGCGCGGTGGCCACCGCTCCCAGTCCTCCAGAATCCTCTTCTAGTGCGTGTGCTTCCAAATCAGACGAAGGTCTCCCAGATGGTCTAAGGTAACGTGTGGATTGCCGACCTGCAAGGTTTCATTTGGGTAAAGGGCTTTGGAGATGGGCTTCTTCTGGAAGTGTCGTTGGCCTTTCCCCTTTTTGGCTTTAGTGGCATTGCATTAGATTAAGCTTTTTAAAGCTAAGGATTATCTGATCTGTATTTGTGTTTCTGGTACCCAACCCAGTATCTGACACCCAGCAGGCATGCTAAATGTTCGTTGAGTAAATAGAACACAGGGGCCAAACTCATTTGAAAATGCAAATATTTCCCACCTTATGTTTATTTAATTATATGTCTTTATATTATACCTGTATATATGTATTTCATTCTACATTATATACATGCACGTAGACACATATATATGTACACACGTATATTTATATGTACTTATTTATCTATATCTATCTATAGATAAATAGATAGCTTTGGTAATATGGCTTCCTGCCTCATGTGTGTATTTTGCCTTCCATCTAAATTCTTTAGGGCAGGAACTATGATTACCCAACCCTACATTTTACTAGGTTACAACGTTGTGCTGGGTTAACAATGTATCCTCCTTCAACTCTTTTGTAGGGTACCTAGCATCTAAGACAATAGAGAACACTGTTCTCACAGCTTTATATGTGTTAACACATTTAATTCTCATAACAGTCCCAGGAGGTAGGTGCTAATACTGTCATTCCCATTTACAGAGAGGCTAGTAACTTGCCCAAGGTTACCAAGCTATGTTGGAGTCAGTGTTTGAACCCAGGCTTGTCTGACTCCAGCATACTTAATAAATATTTGTTTAAATGAAGAGAAGTTTGTTAGTGAGGCATAGTGGAGAAAATGTGAAATAAACCTAACCATAGACTTGGATCTTCATTTTATAAATAAAATCAGCCGCATACTACTGGTAATAATAAGAGCAGCTAAGCTTTATTGAGTGTTTACTGTGTGCCGGAGCCAAATGCTTTATATGCTTTATCTTATGTAATCCTCACAATAATCCTGTTAGGTAGGTAATATTATTTCTGTTTTACAAATGAAGTTCAACAACTTACCTAGAGTTAAACAGCTGATAAATAACAGAGTCAGGATCCAAACCCAGCTACTGTCTATGCCCAAATTTATAATTAAGAGTCCCCCACACCCCACTTAATTCCCAGCAAGGAGTCAGCTTATAGTGTTTATAAAGATTTTTATGTCACAAGATGCTCTCTGCATCATTTTATTTTGGACAGGAAGAACTGTTGAGGTAAGAAAGGCACAATGACCTGGAGCCTCAGTCAGTGGTAGTTTGGGGGTACTTAAGTGCATCAGTTGATAGAGTCAGTTTTATTTAAAAAAAAAAAAGGCAAGGAAATTTAACAAGATTTGGTCTTTATTCCTGGGTGAAAGACTCAACAGTTGCGAATGTTGGATGTCATTGTAAACAGGTTTTGAAGATCTCTTTTAAAAGCAGTGTGTTACATGGTTGTGGCAAACAGTAAAACAACTTCTGGTGTTATCTGTGATAACTTGACACTTGTCATCTGGGATAACATTTCTACTGGCAGCTTCAGTTTTGGATGAAATTTGCCTACTTCAGACAACTTGAAGGGAAGATGCTATGCTCTGGAAAACTGTTGGAAGAACCTAAAAAGTGGTTCTGGTCAAAGATCTGTATAATGAATTTGAATGAAAGTTATTTTTGTGAAATAAAAGTAGAATAAAATAATACTTTATTGATTAAAATACCCTGTGTAACCAAATTAGTATATGTACTGAAATGAAATATTCTAACACTAGGCTATTTCATTTACATCCCCTCAAGTCTCTCCCCCACAATTTTTGGCTTTCCAGAGTCTTTTTTGTGTGATCATTTACTGCAGACTGTCTTTAAAACCCAAATTCTTCACCACCACCCTGTACTCCCTGCATGTGGGATAAAAATTACTGGGTGGAAACTGAATTCCTTTTCATTCTGATTATTTGGGGGCGGGGGTTATACAGTCTAGTTTTGTTCTTCTGGTGGTTATGGTAAAACCATTGTGTATTTAAGCCTCTTGAAGATTGGGTGAAGAGAGAAACTTTTTATCTTCTGTTTCTGATAGCCCCAAAGACCCCGCACAGAAGCACAAGAACCCACCTCTGTCGAGTGTAAGTAGCCAAACGATAACCAAGGAGAGTAACAGAAATGCCCATTTGGAACACCCAGAGCAGAATGCTGGTTCATCGGCAGGCGACACCTCAGCAGCGCACCGGGCGGTTTTAGGAGAAAACTTGATAGCCTCAGCCCTCTGTCTCTCTGGCGGTGGGTCTCAGTCTGATTTGAAGGACGTGGCCAACACAGCAGGAGAGGAGGGGGACACATGCCTCCGGGAGAGCCTCCACCCTGTCACTCGGTCTCTTAAGGCAGGGTGCCATACACAGCAGCTGGCCTCCGGGAATTGTCCTGAAGAGAAGTCCCCACAAGCCTCCATCCTAAAGGAAGGTAGCAGGGACACAGGCTTGGATTTCCGACCTGTAGTGCCTCCAGCAAA